CCCCCCAAAATGACTTCTTATTGTATCACTTCCAAATATGACAGATGAAGAAACTGGTTTTTAGTGTTCTTGTTTTGTAAAGTCCTGGTCTGGTTTTGGAATCATGGAAATACTATCTTTAATGAAAGCATTTGGCAATGTTCTTTCTCTTTTATTTTCATAGAAGAGGTTAAGTAGTACTGGCATTAATTTGTCCCTTAAGTTCTTGTAAAATTTAGCAGGGAATTCATTGGGTAATGGGATTTTCCTAATTGGTAGGTTTTTTCTTATGGCCTCGTAGTCATTACCTGCTATCAGACTGTACAGATGATTATAACTTCTTTGTCCAATTGTGATATTTCAAATGTGCTTGGAAATCTAACCATTTCCTCTATAGTCTCCAATTTTTTGGATATAGGTTTTTCAAAATGCTTATAATCCTCTTCATTTCCTCAGCAAACATGATTTCACCTTTTTCATTTCTAATTGAATTGATGTGGGTCTTGTCTTGTTTGGGTAAGCTGGGCTAGGGGTTTGTCTATTCTGCTTATCCTTCCTAAGAGCTATTTGATTCATTGATTGTAGTGGCTTTTTTGTTTGTTTGTTTCAATTTCATCTCTTACATTTATAACTTTTCGTGCACTTGTTGTGGATTTGGATTGTTCTTATTTTTCTAGAACTTTCAGGAGCATCATTAAGTTAAATGTTTGGGATTGCTCTGTTTTTTTCTAATATGGGCATTCATAGTTATAAATACCTTTTTATGTATTTAGTATGGGGTATATTTGGTCTCACTATGAAAGTTGGACTAGTAGTGATCCTCGTGTTTTCAGACCCCCAGTACCAGGATTACAGGTGCGTGCCACCACACCCAACCTCAGAGTACCCCAGGGGTGGGGGCCGGCATTGCACACCAGGGATCGAATCCCAGTCCCTGCGTCTGCCTAAGCAGGCACTTTAAACTGCTGAGCTATCTGGCCAGCCCTTAAATATCCTTCTTAGAACAGCTGACATTGTGTTTCATAGATTCTAGTATGTTGTGTTGCCATTATTGTTTAAATCTAAGAAAATTTTAATTTTTTCTTCAATTTCTTCTTTTACTCTTGTTTATTCAAGAAGGCATTATTTAATCTTCATGTGTTTCCCTAACTCCTGTGCTTTCTTTTAGCATTGATTTCAAGTTTCAGTCTGCTGTGATCTCATAATATGCACGAGATTATTTTGATCCTCTTGTATTTATTTAAGCATGCCTTTTGGTCTAGTATGTGGTCTATTTTGGATAAAGTTCTGTATGCTGATGAGAGAAATGTGCATTCTGTCACTGGATGAAACACTCAGCAGATATCTGCATTAAGTTCAATTGTTTGAAGGTGTTGCTCAATTCTAATTTTTTTTTGTTGATTTTTTTCTAGTTAACCTGTGTGTTTGTAATAGTGGAGTATTAAAGTCCCCCACTATGATTGCTTTTTTTTCTTCCCCATCACCACTATGATTGTGTTGATGTTTATCTGATCTTTTAGGTCCAGTAGTATCTGTTTTATGAAGTTGGATGTATCAGCATTTGATGCACATACAGTGTAACTGGTTCACAAATTCATTTTGTTTGTGAACACTTTTATTCACAAATGGAAGTGTGTTTTCATAATTTTGTTATTGCTTGTAAACTCTACATTGGGTGACAAACATGACTATCTATCCATATAAACATAAGTATGGGTATCTTTTCCAAAATTGTGGAACAAATTAGGTAATTATTATCTTTTTCTATTGAACTGTCTCTTTATCATTATGTAATGACTTTTGTGTCATCTGATCAGTTTTGTTTGAAGTTCACTGTGTCCAAGAATAGTGTAGCTACACTTGCTTGCTTTTATGCCCTTGTTGTGTGGAATAGAATTTTCCATCCTTTGATTTTTTAATTAATTTTATTGAGAAACAAATAGGAATGAGACAGCTTCAAAACAAGTTAGTAGGATAGTTACAACAATTAATACATTGCATATTGTTGTCTTCATAGTGGTTATTCATAGTACAAGATGCAGACATGATATCTTGTCTAAACACTGTTAGTACAAATCTTTCTTCTCATTGAATTAAGAGAAAGTAGCTGTATATTGATCCTAACTATTTTGTATATACAGATACAAAATGGTCCTTCATTTATATCCCCTTTTTTGTTTAGTTTTGTCAGAGATGGCTATTCCATTGTCATTTAAATATTGTAGGTGCATGAATTCAGCAAAATAATCCAATATAGTCCCAGTAGTCCATAATAGTAGTGGGTTATCCATAGGCATCCTTTGATTTTTTTGCCTACAAGTTTCTTTAAGGAGTGTGCCTCTTGTATGCAACATGGAGTTAGATTTTGATTTTTCAGTCTTTAAAATCAGCAAACTATGCTCATTTTCTTGAGGCAAACCTACATTGTCAGCGATTTATAAATATAGAACCTTTATGTTGTCACATATAAGACAGGAATATTTATTATTTATTTTCTCAGGTTTAGCATTGCTCAGCTGTCTTGGGTTTCAGTGAAAAGGTAAATTCATGGAATAAACATTATTAAAAGTCTAAATTGTATGTACTAATCTCTAAATCCTATATTTTACAGAGAAGTTTTGTCGGATGCAAGACTTAGTTACTGTCACTTTGCCTGTGAGAAATAATCTATACTATCATAAGATTTACTAATTGGTTGGTTACAGTTATACCTAGAGGAACCAAATGCCTAGTAAATATAATTTCTCTGAAGGCAGAGGAAGAAGAAAGAATAGTTCCAAATTTTTCAAAGATGGGGGAGAAAGAAAAAAGGGGAAGGAGTGTGTGTGTGTGTGTGTGTGTGTGTGTGGTGTGGTGCACATGTATGTTCATTTGTGATGAAAGATATTAAACCTAGGGCCTTGTGCATAGTAGGCAGATGCTCTACCCCTGAGCTACACCTTCCCATTGAAGCAATTTTATTTTATTTTTTGGTGGAACAGGGGATTGAACTCAGGTCCTTGCGCTTACCAGGGAAGTACTTATTCCACTGAGCCATCTCCCCAGCCCCGAAACAATTTTAAAAGAATAATTATCTCTTAATTAATGAATTATGTGTTATATCAAAATACATGCACTATGACTATCACAGGAAATTGATATATACAGGTTATACACTTATCTTTTTCCCTAATGTGTTTTTGGCATTAACCAAATTTTATTAACAGCTATTAATCTTACAATCCCATTATCTAGACAGTGCACACAGGCCAGCAATGTTCGCCAATATTACTCAACCACCAGGAGAAAACATTAAAGTACCTTGGGGCCTAGAGCTCCAGGACTTCCTGGAAGGCCCGATGAGCCCTTTGGTCCTCGAAGACCTGGAGATCCATTCAGTCCTGTTCTTCCTGGGCTGCCTCTGATGCCCTAAATAACACAGATAAGAAATAAAAACTGGGAAGTTTCTAGAACATTAATCTAAAGGCTCTGTAAATGTAGGGAATGTTGTGTGCTGAAAGGTTGTTGTTGACATACTGTCCAGGGGTTTCCCAAATGAGTAAAACAAAAAATGTTTGGGAACACCCATCATTCTCTTGAGATCTCTAATTACAGTTATATAATGATCTTGGTTTTAAAAATGAAAACAGTGAGGCAGTTTGAAGTCTGCCAGAACCTTCTGAGTTATACAGTCTGTGTGTGAAGTAGGTTTTGTTTTATTCTTTTTGTTGTCTTTGACAACTCTAGAAACTGAGTAATGTCTCCTTATAAAGAATACTCTATTCCACAACCACACAATTCTATCAGACTTACCATAAATAGTTTGGGAAGAAAGTTAAGAAAGAAGACTTAAAACCAAATCCTAAATCAGTGCTGGTAAACTATTGTTTCCAAGGCAAACTCAGTCACCTATCTGTTTGTGTAGCTCCTGACTTAAAATTAGTTCTTTTACCTTTTTAAATGTGAAAAATCAAAAAAACAATACTTAAATGTGAAAAATATGTAAAATTAAAGTTTTAGTAAGTAGAAATAAGATTTTATTGAAACAGTCACTATCCTTTATGTATTTACTTTTTTGGGGGATGTTTTTGCCCTACAATAACAGGATTGAACAGTTATAGCAAAGTTTCTGTGGCACCATCATTGCTTTACAGTGCTGTTTGGTGAATAGGAAATTGTAATTAGGCATTTATAACTTGACAGCATTTCAAGTGGAAAAGTACTTTTTTCTGTGACCTTTTGTTTTATTGTGAATACATACTTATTATGTAAAAAAAGAGAATGGTCTTTGCTGTTTTTAAGACACAATAGAATGTAGATCACTTTATCAAATGACAAGACCTTGTATTCAATATGCAGTGATACTGCTGCTTTTCTTAAAATACATTTAGCATACACCAGCATTGTTAGACCAAGCACCCAGCACAATATTCCCACTGGACATGAATATGACAGTGAGTTTGAAAATGTAAAATGGGATATCTTATGACAGTAGAATTCCTTCACAAAAGTTGGATGCTGTAGTAAAAGTAAGTTTCTATTTTCACTCTGAAAATCCCATGTTTTGGAGACTTAACTGAAACACATAGAAAACAAACTTGCTTATTAGCCTTTTGGTAAGAATAATTGCCTGATATGTTGAAGACACTGGCACAATATCGAATCAATTAAAAAACAAGGCAAATGATTTTGAGTGATTTTCTTTAATTCTTGATCAGTCAGTAGAAGACGATATAGTTCTCAGTTGTTTGTTGGAGGAGTCAAAACTGAGTTTGAAGTAATGAAGAATTAACTTCTATGGATAACTTGTGGGGTAATGATGAGTGAGGAATTTTCAGTGTTAAGAAAACACTAAATTAGTTCAACTTTAAGTGGAATCAGCCAAGAGGCAATGAAATTGATAGTTGTGGCTTAGAAAAAGAGTTATGTTATAAACTTACCTACTTGTGAATAGGTAAGCTGTTTAAAGCTGTGAATATTAAAGTTCTCTGAGGAAAACCCTTTAATTTAGCATGTGTTACTAAGCCCATGTTAAAAGTGAACCCCAGGAAATTTTACAGATCAAAATTTGTTAGTTGTGTGAAATTTCTGTCAGAAATAGAAAGAGAATAATTGGACTTTTCCTATTACGCACAAGTTAGATGGTTTAGTGGGTTAAAGTTTATTGAGATTGTTTTTTGGAAGGAAGATTGTTCTCAATACAAGTGAACAATGAAGGGCTTTGAGAAAGGTTTCCCTATAGACTTTATAATGGTTATTAATAAATTAGATCCAAAATTGCAAAGCAAAATAATGTTTATGTGTGAAATACACACTGTAGTATAGTCAGTTTTTACAATAAATCACATGTAATGTTAAGCAGCAACTTACTGTGCTGTTGAATATTAAAACAAGTGAAAATTTTCATTCTCACATAGATTTACAATGGATAGATTTTTCTGGTCTCAGTTTCAGAAGCATATTTTAATCCTAGATGCAAGAAATTTCTCTATTTCAAAATCCATGTGACTCTTTATTTGGGGAGTGTCCACAAAATCTTCAACTGGAAATGATTAAGCTACAGTGTAATGATATATTAAAAGACAAGTTTCAAGGGAAGAATCTAATAGAGTTTTATAAATTCCTTCCAAGCAATGAATATACTTAATTAAAGTCATATGCTGATGAGCTGTAGTGTTTGATAGTGTCGATCTGTGTGAAAAGAATTTTAAAAGGTGAAAGATGTAAAATATTCAAATCTCATTACAATTCAGCATTACCAGATGAACAGAAAGCTTTTGACAGAAGAGAACTATAATAATTTAAATATCATCTCCTGCAAAAATTGCCATTTTTCTTATTAGTGGCCATTATAAAAGCTGATTTTCTAAAACATTTTTGATGCCATGAGTAAAAATTTTATGAAAGTTTCCCTCTTGTGTTATGTATCATGGGCTAACCCAGTGACCATTGGGATTCCTCTCTCTTATATTAGTTCTAAGTAACACCCTTGGTTTTGTTTCTTGTCTTATGATACCTAAAATATTTATGTGTACGTACAGAAAGAATTTGCTGACCTCTTTACTAGAAGATAGTTGCTACTTTCTAAGTGACACCTGGGATACAAGATTGGGTTATCCAATAGTTCTTCCTATGCATTCAAATAAAAACTAAAAAAAAAAAACAACAAAAAACCCCCTAGGGCTATGGAGATAGCTTAGTGGTCTAAGTACCTGCCTGGTTTGCACAAGGACCTGAGTTTGATTCCTGGTACCCCATGAGTGCTAGCCCCAGAACCCTGGGTGTACCTTGCCAGCCACTGAAACGGCATGGTGGTGTACCCCTGTATCCCCAGCACTGGAAAGGCTGAGACAGGAGGATCACTATAAGTCCAAGCTGCATAGCAAGACCCTGTACCAGATAAATAAATATTTTAAAAAATTAAAAAGAAAAACAAAATCAGAGATTGATTATCACATAGTCTAAGGATGATACCATAGGAAGTCCTCTGATGAACACAAATACAAATATGATTCTTGTTTCCATAATATTTCTATCACTTAATTTTTAGTTTCTAAGGATGATATCATGGGAAATCCTCTGGTAATTATTTATATGCAATAGAGATAGGCTAGGACAGAGGGAGAAAGATTTACATTGTGGATTTAGGATCCGGGTGGTATGGTGTTTCTACATTTGTACTCTTTATCCTAAGCATATTAATCTTTCCTATTTCTTTCCTGTTGCTTCTTACTGTGTGTTTTACATTATCTAATTTGTTCTGTAAGCCTTTTTGTTCCATATACCTGGGATAAATGACCTGGTAATGAACTTTCCATATGAACAATGAGAACTCCAGGGTCATGTGATGGTGCCAATGTTGGAGCTCATGAATACATGGGAGATACAGTCCTGTAGTCCTTTGAGACTTTAGGATACAGACTTTCAAAAAAGGGGAAGAAAACTGGTGTTACACTGATGACCAGGTCTCTAGTGAGACTATGACTTTACCTAAATTCATATTTAAAAACAAATTCTGATGAACAGAATCTCCCTAATTAAAAGAAAAAAAAATGAAAACCAAAAATATCTAAAGAAATCAATGACTTACAAAAATTGCAGATTTTTACAAGATTGTATATAAAATGTGAAGAAAGGGCATGTAAGAAACAAGAAGACCTACAAATTAATTACATATTTAAACTGGTAAAAATTAAGTTATAAAGGTAGATCAGTGTAAGGATAAAAGAAAATAAAATTGTGGGGTTTTTTGGTGACCTTCTTCTCTCTAGATTACCATAAAAGTAGATAATGTCATAGGGAGTTGCATTATTTACATAAGGTACCCTTAATCTATATGATTTAAAAAAAAACTTCACACTTTCATAATTCTAAAATATACTAATTCACCTCACATTAACTAGAATTCTAAGCATTTTTAAAGAACATATTTCCCAACAGAAAAAAAATACATCTTTTGGGTTAGATGTGGACAATGGACGTTCAGTCATGCTGAACACTCCTGAAATAAATAGATACTTTCAGATGAGAATAATAAAGAATAATTAGATCTAACTAGAAATACTACTTTGGGTTAACTAGAAACTCAATTTTATTTTTAATCCTATCAGATATTCAATCCAGCCCAATGAATATTTTCCAAATCACTTACTATTCATGTTGATTTTTCTAGACAGAAATTTAAGGATAGTAGCAGAGTGTTCTGTACAAAGTTCCAAAGAGTGTTTTATACAAATAAAGAACAAACATTTTTATTATGAATACACAGATGGATAATTAATTTTGCTTTCAAGAGAAACAGATGCTAATCCCTAGGCATTCTTTCCAGTGTTTTCTAAATGATTTGTCTAAACCTATTCAGCAAAGGGAAAGTCATTCTGGGAAAAAAATGAAAAGTAAACAAAATCATAGTAGTTATAAATTTTGGTCAGAGATGCTGTGACCAATGAATAGTTTACCTGAGTCTTAATGACTAATATAATGACAAGAGGAAAAGTACATGATTGTGTTATGGCCAGAGAGTCCTATTATTGTCAGACAGAAGCCAATCTCCCTACAGAAATCAATTTTGAGCCTGGCAACAAAACGTCTATTTTGATCAGACTGAAACTTAATGGCTGCTCATGCTTTGAGACTAAGGCAACAAGCATTGTACTTGAAAGTAGGCAATAAAAAGATCGATCACTCCAAGTACCTTTTATCCAATGCCTCTTGTGTATTGGTATTATGGTTATACTGCTTTATTTCACCTGAAGACAGGGTAAAAGAGTGCCTTGCTTTTCACTTTGATGTCTCCTTTAGGTATTGAAAGGTATCAGAAGGAAAAGGGGGGCTACCTGTACATATTTAGAAGAAAGACACAGAGGCATGTTGCAATGATGATGCCCGGTACGTATGTAATAGTGAAAGATACCAAAAAGAATATTATT